TAGGTAACTGCTTATGATTAGAACGCCTGTTCCTTTTGTTGCCACCGACAGCATTAAACAAAAGTACTTTTGAAGTTCTTAATAATACCCTTATTCTTTAGTTACTCGTAACACTTTTATATAGGCCTGCCGTAGCACCGTCCACCTACTGCCGACTCAAAACCGCAGACAATCATGTAAGAGTATGAAATGAGACAGGAAACTTGTTTCCTCACATCTGTTCCTTGCGTGCACGCATCGTTCAGGATACATATCATACAAAATGTATATTTATCAACCCACACAAAGGACTCAAATTCAATATCCTCCTTTGTATACTTTTTATTTATAATATAAACTGTAATTACGAATACTTATTTTGGTTGAACAATAGTCGAACAGCTGCCTTTACGGCTTTATCCAATAGGTTACAAGCAGTTCAATTCAAGTTTGACAAAGAGCCTGGCCCAAGTATCCGATGGCTGTAGAACTTTCAAAAGTTAATCAAGATCCAAGTAAATCTGCGTCAAAGACTTCAACTCCTGAGCAGGTACAAATAGAAGATTAATTAATTGAATGCAGTATCAAGTATTATGTAAATTTAATTAAGTGGTTAAGTTGGAAGTGGGTAAAGAAACTGCTTATAAGCTGACTGTCGTGTAACTTAGACATTAAGTCGTTCTTAAGGAGTTCACTATGATACCTTTGAGAACATTTCAAGATTGGAACTACGTCGTTGATGTGAATAGGCTTGCAGCTTGTTAAGAGACTTTATTGACTTTTTTCTGAGACTTTGAACTGAGAGTATACTTATAAGAATTAAAAACTTTACCACACTTTCTTTGCAGTCAGCTGTAGAAGCCCCAACAATTTTATAATCATGGAAATACTCCATAGAAAAACTTTTTCTTTTGGACAACGCAAATTCAATAAGTATAGTTTCAGACTACACAAAAGGAAATCTTAAAAAGTGTTGAACAAGAAACAATTTCTTATACTTTCATGAGCCATTGAAATAAGGTAAGTAATACTTTTACTTTTCGAACTTGAAAACTTCTTAGAGTATTTACTAATACTAATGGCGAATGAAAAAGCTATAGGAAAAAAGTTTTAAGGTCAAGTTTTATATAACTGCTTACGCCCGAGTATCGAAAGGGTATTCAAGCGCGCGCTTAAGTTAACATAGTTTTGGTCACAAATTCTTTGTACGACTACGATATTTAAGAACAACTTAAAATTGAGTAGTTTTTCATTATTAGGGGGTTAACGTCTTTTAATTCCAAAAGGGGTCAGCAAGATTGCACATTTTGCCACTGTACAATGTAACACCCACTTTTCACTATTTATGTTATGAGTCCCATGTAATAGGGGCAGGCTTGCCATATACCGGGCACAATTCCAGACTTCGTGCTACTACTGAGAATTTTTTGAAAGGAATCCCCGACCCGGGAATCGAACCCGAGTCCCCTTGCCCGGCAGTCGCACTTGCGACCACCCAGCTAACGAGTCAGTCTCTGTTAAATACTGACCACAAAATATTGAAGTATCGTAATAGAAATTGGGCTTCAAAGCCCAATAGTAATAATCCTTTGCTTTCTTCTTAGTGGTCACTAACCACTAAGTTAATGGGGGCTATTATATTAAAGGCGTTTCCTTTTATTTCTAATTGGATTGTTACGAAGCTGGCGGTGCACCTGATGGTTAATACATTTAGACATCTGTAGGCTGTGTATGATGTAATGAAGTTACAGTGCTCTGTAAGTTGGTAATATCTGTTCAAGTTGGAGGCGTTTAGGTAGTTTATATTAACCCTTTGAGTACCGTCATTATAGACACAATTAAGAACAATAGGTTGCGGTCACCAGTGTCCTCGCGGTGTTTGACAGTTTAAGGACTAGTTTCTGCCCGCGACTTCGTACACACAATCCCGTTTCTCCCATTCCCGTGGGATTTTAAGGCTACTTTTCTGTCATATAAACCATATCCTGACAAACACAAAAAAAAATCAGCCAAATCGGTCTAGCCGTTCTCGAGTTATGGCGTGACAACGGGAAACGTATTTCATTTTTATATAGAGGTATATACATTATATATATACATCACCCCCTATTACATGGGACTCATAACATAAATAGTGATAAGTGGGTGTTACATTGTACAGAGGCATAATGTGCACCTCTGCCTACCCCTTCGAGGATAAAAGGCGTGATGTTATGTTATGTTATATACACATAGATATCGTTTATATGGAGTTGTATAAATTGTATTATAATTCGTGGGTCTCATGGCTGTTAATCTTTGTTACCTATCTTCTGTTCATAACATTATCAATTCGCGGTGTGGAGCTGGACAATAAATCCCTATTAGTTACGAATGTGCATTATTAATTACGAATCAAAAACATCCTATTAATTACGAATCAAAAACATGAATGGGAAATTATGCATCTCGAAAATGCTGACGCTGTGCGGTATTAAAATCGTATCTATACAACTGTCAACGCACTTACGAATTACCGCGGTTGTGGTGTCAGTAGGTACTTAAGTGACTTAAACTTAACTATAAACTTTTTCTCTAGAAACGAAAGATCCAGAGTTTTATATCGATGTAACTATCTAATATTATTATATCTTCTATTAATTTCTTAATAGCATGTCTAGAGTACTGAAGTACAGCTCGGAAGTCGATCCTAATTGAATTGTTTAGGATGGATCAACTCTGTAGTGAAAAAATATACAGCTGCGTGACTGGTCATGATTTATGAGAAGAATTTATTGAACTTTTTAAATATTATATTGGATTAATTTTAACTAAATAAATATAATTATTTATTTACGGTTGATGTGGTGGCAATCCTCCCACGGAACAATTATTATTTGTGTGACAATGCATAATCGAAAATCCTAGCGTTAAAGAACATTCATTGCTCTATTGCCTTTAAAATCGTTATTATGAAATTTAATTCACTTCAAAAGTAACCGCATTAAAGTCACTTAAATCTTTATATAGATTAATAGTAAAACGTTGGTTGTAACGTAACATAACGTAACGTAAGTAATTGTATATTAAATAATAATATTTCAGTTAGCTAGTTCTATACAAACAACTGATATGGGCCGACGGCGGCGCCGACGGGAAAGAGCGAATACATACATAACACGCAAAGCAGCATTAATATATGTACGTTTAAATAATATGAATCCGCACCTGTGCAACAAAATGCGATAGTTTAAAAGTTTGATACTTAATCAGGTCAGAACGACTGAACAGATCCTGATAGCATAAAGGTAAAAGTAGATAACTATTTGTTAAAAGCCGGAATATCTTGGTAATTACGAGTGAACCGGTGGATGCAAGTCCAATTTCAAAGTCAAAGAATTTATTTCAATTAATCCTGGATTAGGCACTTTTGAAACGTCAAATTGTATTGTAGGTCCCCGTTGGAAAATGTAGTTTCGAATAGAGAAGAACTATCAAGAAACTCCATCGTTGTTACTCTTTTCAAATAAATGTTTTTTTACAATCTCACAAATACATTATATGATTCTTACTTAATATATACATGTTAGAATGTAGATAAAGTCCTGGAAGTTGTTAAGAAAGGCTTATGTTCATCAGTGGATGTCTTGGAGCTGATATGATGATGACTACTAGGAACGCGAGTAAGCCTACAGGTAGAAGCCAGTTGTGTTATAAAGGGAGAATATTTTCCAAAATAAACGTAAGTACCAGATTAACAGTACTGTACGAGTCAGGTCAGTGAAGAAATTGCAACGTATAACTTCTAGGTACAGGAACTTTATTATTGTTAAGATCATATTACGCAGTCACATTCTTTTGCATCTACTAATTTGATATACCTTATAGTCAATTGTACCTTCATATAAAGTATAATATTTCATCCAACAAACATATACATACGTAGCTACAACAAATCACGAAAGAATCTATATCATTAGGGACAATGTGGAGCTGTGGGCGTAAGTACTTATTTATTATATTATCCCATTTTTATTTTTCTATATTCTATAGGACTTTTTTGCCGGTACAATTATTGTGGACAAATATATTCAACCTTGGAGATAATAGGACTTAAACCCCATTTGGTCCCAATTCAAAGATGGTAATTTTGTTCTTTTCTATGAAACGACGCGACGTCAAAAATACTCGGTTATAATCAAATTGTATTGTAAATATATTATTATTTTTGTTCTGTTCAAAAGGACATCTAAATACACAAATCACAATATACAAAAAGGTTAATAGGAGTACATAAGTAGATAGTAAAAAAAATCTAGAGCTTTCAGACTGTTCCGGAAATTTCTAAATTCTGATCGATCAGTTAAGTAAGAACGTCTAAACTTTAACAAATACCTAAGCAATCATTCTCCTATTTTCATTCATGCCACAAATGAATTAGTATCAAGTATTATTGTATGATAATTACTTGTGAGATCATTGCATTAGGCCAACAGCGTGTTTAATTTGCATGCAAGCCAACTGCAAAGAAATCCGAATCTCCCGGCAAAATACAACAGCATCAATAAAACTTTTGGCAGAATTAACTTAGCCGCTCCCTACATTGTAAGAGCATGGCTAATAATATAATTCACAATCATTTTGTGTGAAACTAAATGTTATTGTTTTAATCGATGAAACATTATGCCGAATAGTTTACTAATAAACCAGTAGCCCACGTCTTTCAGTTGAAAACTTTTCACAATACTATGAAAGGTAGCGATTAGAAGCTCTCACTTGTTTACAATCAGTACTCAGAAAAGCGAAATGTTTTAACTGCTCCATCACAAAATAAGTGTTGGTAAATAAACAAATATGGCGATTATGAAACAAATTAGATAAATAACAATCTAGTTCTGCCATTAATTTTATTAAATGCCGCTCTAGATTCTTTACAAAGTGATAGAAGTTTATGAAAAGTTGTTGAAAGGTTTTTAAAGACAAGATTCACTAATTTCACAGTCCTGAAACTCAAGAAAAATAGGAAAATGTCACATGCTTACCCTTTGGAGGGGGCCACTGCCGCGCTGCCATATTGCAGCGGCGGCGCGAAGTGCAGGGCCATGGTGGCCGCAGCGCTCGCTGGCAGACAGGGTTGCGCTTGCGGCGGCGGACCGAGGGGAACTCGCGGCACGGGCTCGTGCTCGCAGCTCGAGGGGTAGGTCGCGTAGTGATACGGATCGAAGTGGTTTATCGGACAGTCGAGGTCGGGTAGAGACCATTCGGCCATGGTCTACTCATCGACATAGGCGACTGACTACTGCGCAAGCCGGGGACACGCGTGCATCTGTCGAGGCAACGCGCGCGCACTGACGCCCCGCTCGCGTCTCCCGCCGCCGATGCAACGCATAAACAAACTGCAAATCCTTTATCTGGCCGCTTCACGGCACTCGGCGATGTACGTAGTTAGCCGACTACTGATAAAGGGCAGTCTTGAGCAGCGTTCACACTAAACTAATTAATCAGCATGCTACTGCAACTATCATTACGATCCGATTACGTAGGCGACCCTTAATTTATAAGGAGTTAGCGCCCGTTTTTTCTTACGTTCTGTTTACAATATTACGCAGTATTTGCAAGTACAATAATAATGTTGGTTTTCGTCACAGTTTTACTGTTCTTGTTATAATCGTATTAAAGCATAGTTTATGTTTATTGTAGCACCATATTCCTTCATTTAACCTTAGTTGGGTTTATTATATGAATGTGAGAACGAGACGACGTTATCATTGTCTCGCATCATTTGAACAAATTAGGAACGGCGTTGACTTGAGTACTTAGGTACAGACTTACATACAGACGTACTTAGTTCTAATTGATTTAAGGTGGAGTGGTGTGATAGAGATTATAACAAAGTTGCGGATCGAAAACACGCCTTGTTTACCCATAAATCTGCAGTCGCGGTATTCTAGATAGGTATGTAGCGCTGATATCAGCCTGTAACGTTTACGGCTGAACGTTGGCCTCCAACCTAGACACAGCTGCAATTAACTATTGACACATTTAGAGGCAAAATGCATATATTTTATTGCTATTCTTTAAAGAATTGTAAATTAGTCATTGCAGGTACGCAATGCAGTCATTCTTGTACATTGCTACGTACATTTTAATGTCCTTGGGAGTAATACTAACCTTTTATTAAATGGTGTGTTATAATGGTTAGATGACTATTATTATATACTTATTAACGCGACTATAATAACAGTACTGGCAATACTAATTAACAAAGGTGACTTCCAGATATAAACAAGATGGATATCGATAAATAGCAACATGTTTTCAACTCTATATCTATTTTGATAAAGATTATATTCACTTAATAGAGAGTGTGGTTAGCTGGAATGATTATCAGAGAGGCAGGGTGAAACTTTAAGGTGTGAACAATACTTAAGTCGATTAAAGTATGTAAGTATTTTAGCATTAGTTTCCATATACCCAATATTTGAAAAAAAAGGACATAATATCACTTAGAAATGATTGCAGCACTAAAATGCCTGTGGGTTATTTACGTGTGCGTGTGTAATTGGTTACCACGTTACCAGGCTCAAGAAAATGACAGATGCCCTTCGTGTCAATGTGTTTACGTTCTGCGCGTAAGTCTATCATTAACAGCCATTAAATGCCCACTGCTGAGCAAAGCCTCTTCTCACACGGAGAAGGTTCGTGCACATTAATCACCACGCTTGCTCATTGCGGGTTGGCGATTTCAAACTTATAATTAGAAATTTTAAGTCCAGGTTTCCTCACGATGTTTTTCTTCACCGTATGTCAGTGGTGTCTAAATAATCTTAGAAAGTACATATAACTCGAAAAAAGTCACACTGGTACTTGCCGTTGGTAGGTTTCGAACCCGTACCCTCATGCATTAGAAGCGAGCGTCTTAACCTCCGGGTAACCACGACTTAAGTCTATAGTAACCAGTGCCTTTAGCCAAACACCACTTTAGCGCTTGTCTATAGAGAGAGTAGAAATCAAAATGTATGGGGATGACACGGCCATGTGTCAGAATTTACTTCAATTCCATATAATTTAGTTTTCTACTCTACAAGTAGACAAGCGCTAAATGGCATTTGGCTACAGCTGCTGGTATCACAGTAATTGTTTCAAGAGATTATATCTGCCTTTTTCTCTAATGTCTTTGGTTTAGATAAACATAAGACCCGGGTACTTGAACAAATTAATTTATTGACAATAAAGGTGAGAAAACATGTTTAATTTTCCTTAGCATATATAACACATTTTCTTTAAAAGAAAATTATATTTAGCTTGACAATATGCACCTGTCGTTTATAATAACACTATAGCGCCAAGAACAGGGAACGTGTCGAGTATGGAAACATAATTTCACCCATTTCAACTTCACTAGGTAAATGTTCAGTATTTTGAATTATATAGAGGTATATTACCCAAAATTATTATATACCCAGTTGCATTGTCGATTATCTACTAACGAATTCATTAAAATTCTACGCCATTGTGACATATTCGTATCAGACATTTTTTATTATAATACATGGTTTCACTCTCCATATCATTGTGTATGAACTTTTCGTCACATCAATTATGGTGTTTTCCCCAATCCTCAAGCCGCCTGTCAAGTTTAAGATACTTTTCCTCCATCTTTTGACGGATAGGAAGCCAGTGTTCAGAAATTGACAATATCTGCCTACACTTTGCTAACTGAAAAGCGTGATTTTAGGTATATTAAAAGTAGTGAGTTTAAAAGTCAATCAGATTCGAGCATTTCAATTTTTCAGACTATTCCTATTGACTTGTCGGTAGTTTAGTATTTCGTTGTTCGGGCTTTGAAGTGATGTTGACTTATTCAACGTCGACATGTTGTATGTCATGTCTATCTAGATATATAGTCGCGGTAGGTACATAATGTGCGCTCTCTGTCTCATATACACAGGTTTTAAAGTTAATTAAATAGTTGAATCCATAGTATCAAGTCTATTTCTTTTTCATTATATCCACCCAAAGGTTGTCTGCATTTCTTTTTATGTGTGTACTATATTATTAAAGGTAATAACGTTTATTCTATTCTATTTTATTCTATCGAGCATTATTAAGATATCGATTAGTTCAGTTGTTATTCCTACTCGACTTTTTTTGTTTTATTTAGTTAGTTTTGGAGTCGACACTGCGTCTTAACTAGATTTGTATACCTAAATATCAGAAAACGTGCACAACTCACTTAAGGGGCAAATACCTACCATATTTATGCATGGTAATTCCCATTATAGATTTTTAAGCTTCTGACTTGCTAGCGATAGTCCTAGATGATTATAGGACATCTTGACTTCCCCATGCGGACAACTTTACGTTCATTTTCGGTCTTTCACTTTAAAATTTTCCAGATTTCGACTTTTTATTATTTAAGGGCCAATTGTGGTATATTTAGTTATTATTATTATTATTTTTCAGGGAATAGGCCCCAGAACAATAAAACCGGTAGCAAAAACTAAACTAATTGAAATTTTATTTGTGAAAGAGAGTAACAAAATGGTATTTTTATTTCCTAAATTCTAGATAAGGCCGGAGGCCGGAATCTGGATTTGAAATAAAGTAAAAAATTGTATTTGATTTGACTTTCGGGTAACTCCGTTGTTTCTAAATATTATACATGTATCTACATAATAATCTGTATACAATAGCTTTAATAGAATACGACAGAATCGCGTTTAAATTATGCTTCTATTGTCAATTTTCGTAAACAGTTTGCGAACTGTGACAAAGGATGTGGCAGTGCTATTGATAAATAGGACCCTATATCTATGTAGTTAGAGTGGAATATAAATATACAAATGTAACATAACATAAGGTGTTGTTAGCACATGTCACATGTCAACAATGTTAGGGGTTCTATTTAATAGAGCTGATGGCTTTACAGCTCTAGAAGATATAACTAACTTTCTTTCTCCTACTGTTTAACCAACTATTTTTGAATCGATTGAAACTAAAATAATCTTTATATATTATCTATAGTCAAATCATATATTATTTCCATAGTCCCAATAGTAGAGAAACGATATAGAATTACACCTACCGAGCTGCAGGTAATTCAGTGGATTCTCACTGCCAGTCCCTTAATGCCGATTTAAAATTTAAAACTGACCAAAGCCTGTGTCGCGTTAAGTAGGAATGTGACACGCCATTTCGGATCTGGATACGAATAGGAATTTAGAAGGCAGGTATCTATTTGGTTTATGTTAACAAAATTGATATTATTTCGGATCTCGAGATCGCTGAACAAAGGTATCGCCATCGGGTTCATTTTTTGATACGGGTTAGATGTTGTAGGGATTTATAATTTTTAAACTTAGTATTAGAAATTACTCTTGAATTTACTATACTAAGTGTAATTTTCTGTACTAAGTGCTATCACAAAAATCTCAAAAGAATCATAATAATTATTTAACGGAGAAGAGTGTAGGTGTCACATAAGTTACGTACGCTTTAACATGATTTGAATAAATGTCATAATAAATTTATGTCATTTCAGAAATCACTACCTACCGTTGTATTTTGCAGATGACTCTAGAAGAAAGTTTTAACTATATACCAAAGAGAGTAGGAACTGCCCGCCACCTTCAGAAACTTTCGAAAAACTTTTACAACATCATTGTTGTTAAAATTCCTACAATATACGCGTACCTACAAAACTCGGGAATTTCAGAAATTCATATACGGTTCCGAATAGATTTTCATTTCTCTTTACGGTTCTGGTTACGAATTCCTTTAACATCTCTAGTTCAACAGATTCAGCGAACGAACTGCACTCGTATAGAGTTGGAACCGCAAATGACAGAAACAGGGCCCTCGGTTTTTTCGTTCCACGAAATAGATCATTTCAACCCACATCGGATGACTTGATAATGGATTTTAGTCATTCGTAGCGGCTATTTGAAGTGCAGTTTCAGGTAACTTTAATAAAATAGAGAGTGGTAAGGTAATCATCGGTTTTTTTTTTTATTTTTTGAAGTTTCCTAAATTGAGACTGATGGTTTGGTGGGTTTTGTGCAGTTTAATTTTACTTTTACTGTCCCGTCCGAACTCTTCCCATTAAGTGTTGTAGGAGTCGACTGAGGGACTACCTACATAAATTTCTTTGTGTGATCCACAGATTGTTGTTCCGGGTCTGAGTGTCATGTGTATGTGATACTGTATGTTTGTAAACGCACCCACGATACAGGAGAAAATCCTAGTGTGGGCAACGTTTTTTTAAAAGAAAAAAAAAATCAGCGCTTGCTGGTAAACCTGAACCTTATATATAAACTGCGATTTTTAACCCACCTAAAAAGTTTTCGGCATATTCACGTAATAATTTGAAGAGGAACTCGACTAGTTTCAAGCCATGCTAGAGGCACATATTCATGAGCAGCATTTCGCGACCCGCGACGCGGCGACTGTCGCGGTGCTACTACAGTACACCTACAAAGTGTGGACATTGTGGCAGTAAGTAAAATGTCATAGGCTGTTCATGACGAATAAATTTTACAACTTGTGTTTACATAGTTGGTCGA